TATAAATAATTTCGGGCCAAAACCAACCTATATATATTGGTACGGCAGTTGAATGCCATAGTGATTGTTCTAATTAATAATTAGGATGCTGAACCCTATAACACAAGTGTCGGTAGTCCTACGTGGAGGGTAGTCGAAATTATTCTTTTTCCAGCTGTGCATCTGCGATTGTACCAAACTGTGCCAAGTAGAATCAGCATATTCTTTCTCATCTCTCTAAGATTTTGACGTTTATTGAGCGAGTGGAGTGTCCTGTGGGGATGAGTTTGGCTATACTTTAGCTTTTAACATTTTGCATCCAAGCAAAGGAACTTCACTCAAAAAGAGTTTTCATTGGAAGCAAGCAGTGTTTTGATTAATCACATTGTAATGAAATCGTTAAAGCAACATCAGGAATGAGAGAAGATGAAAATGAAATTACTCAGAAACTAGAGTGAAGTATGTAGATAGGCGGCGCAAGCCAGCCGCGTCGATGTCGGTCTCACTAGAAGCTAGGCGACGCGATGCTGGAGTCACTCAACCACCTACAAGATCTAGGCCGGCGCTGTTGATCCAACCAGATCTAACAAGGTCAATTGCTCGTCATTGTCGCTTGCTCGTTGGGGTTGCTTGCTCATCAGGGTCGCGCTGCGAAATTTGAAACGTCAAGGGTCTCGCGGCGCAGTAACATTTCACAATCGAGTCGCCACTAAGGTTGTTGACCCAAGCTAGATCTGATAGGGTCTGGAGAAGCACAAGCCCACCCGAAATCTCATCGGGATTGCCAGACCCCTCGGCCAAATCTCGCCGGCGTCACACTAGCCCCGACAGAGCTTCTCTGGCGTCCTCAACAACCCTCGATTGACCCCCATTCTTCACGTCTTATGGCCCGCGATACATAGCCAATGTGAAAAATACCTCCCAGTCAAGACTTAGCCATCAGTTTTTCAACATAAAGCCACACATTTTCTTTTCCTCCCAAGTAGATAAATACCTTGAGAGGGGAAAGCTTACAATCCTTTCCAAAATCATGGAGGCAAATTCATGCTTTTTCCACAACTAACCAAAGAAAATATGACATTAAATATAACTATCGAAAAGTTCGATTGCAGCGTGCGAACATGTTTGAGCAGGTTCTAGATTATGTTCCTAATAATTGATAAATAAAGATACTACATCTAGGTGCCATCATGCGTGCATGAATCACATCTTATTTTTCTCGTTTTTTTTCCACTGATTTTTCTCCTTCGACCTGCGAAATCATGATGCAGCCAATCCACATTTTGAGCTGTTGAGACAAAAGGACGTTTTGAATGTGGACAAGTCAATTAGGGCATAATTCAAATCTAGGTGCCGATTTGTCAATATTGCAATTATTTGGTATACTATATATATGCTAGTGATCATATTATCATATTGTGGTACTGATGTGACTATGAATATTTTTTGGAGTCAATCGCAAGGTGGTGTTCAAACATCACATTTATAATCTCTCTGGTTTAATAGAATAAGCGAATAAGTTATGTCACTTTAAAAAAAAAATTGATGATGCTTGATGCAATAGATTCACAATTAACAAGCTAACAACCCCCTCATTTGGAACTTCTGTGTTCAAGGTTGACAGCATACTCATACTGCAACATGAGTGTAAGGCTTCTCTTGGATCCTTGGTGTTTGGTTAAGGTTTAACCTCACCAAAGAAATGAAGCTCTCGCTCCTACAAGGACCCCCACGGCTTGTCTCCATCCTGCGGGGCAAACTCCACATATGCATTTTTTATTTTAACGCACCGGTGCCTGCACGGCTCGCACTCCCAATTCCGAATATATCTTTGTCTTTTCCAGAGAGAAAGAATACCCACTAGTGTTTTACATCCTGTTGATTTCGAGATTTGAACGAGAACCGAGATAAAGCCTTTTAAGGACTTATTTAAGTCTAACCCTCTTATTTCGTGGAAGGGGGAAAAATGTTTGACAGATTATGAAACAAGAATACAAGATTGATAATATCTTTTAGGGCTTGTGGGTGGGTGAGAGAGAGAGAGAGAGAGAGAGAGAGAGAGGGAGAGATGCTATCTTCCTCCTTTTAGAGACCTACAAGAGATGTCATGGACAGTATATGTCCATGCTGTCTAACAAATGGACCAATCAAAGCTGTGACTGCAATTCACGCTCTAAAACTAGTGTTAAAGTCCGCTACCACAAGGGCAACGTGTGCACCGACACTCGCACCAGACCACTGAGCTGATGTTCTCTTCCGCCAACTGGAGGGAAAAACAATTGACAAAAAGTGGCACAAGCCAAGGAAAGCACCAAGCTCAAGGGTACAAAACAAAGCTAGTAAGATTTGATAAAATCCCAAAGGCTTGTTCAACTTTGCACAATTGGATCAATTGTGAGTGGAATCGTCAACATCCACAGAATTCCAGAAAATTATGTAGGTTATGATACGTTCATTGTCTTCTAACACAAGTATCGTCAATCTCATGTCAAGTGGGGGAAACTCGATTCCCTTAATTGATTTGTCTGTGCAATGATGAAAAACCGAGTATGCTTTCGGAGATTTTTGTTTAACCGGGCGACAAACTTATGAAGTCAATCTCATTGATATCTTTACAATGTATATATAGATATCCTATGCCTTTACTACGCTACTACAGTATGCCATTGGACCGAGGAGGCAAACCACTCCCGGAGCTCAAAAGGAAGCGCTCCTGATTACTGACATTTTCTGCATCTTTTTTCCTTCCTCAAGCTTCCTATACTTGTCCTTTTTACCCAAAAGAAGCCTGCTTCTGCCGACACTCCCACCTTACGTTGTCTCAAAACAATATGAAAATCAATGCTCGACGAAGGAGTCTTTAACCCTTAATTTATGGTGTGCCCACATGCAAATTGCTTTCTAAAGATTACATATATTACGCTATTTGTCAATCTGCTGACGTCGTCTCGCCACAAACCCCGCTCGTAAACCTTGCAAAAACCATGATTATATGGGCCATATAGATCCCCCTTTGAGTCTTTTGACGTTGTATAATGTATTTTGTCCTCTAAAATATGCATTTTCTGGGTATATGGTCGCAAGAGCTTGACTTGTTTCGGCAAATATGGCTTTAATGGGGGGTTTAATCCTTCTTTCGCACGTAAAGCAGATGCTTAAAATCTTCGCTCCTTTTTCCATCAAACATTATGCAGACAATACGCCCCAATGATAAATGTTTTATGTCTCATGGTGCGAAGGCTTATTTAGCCTGTCGCTTTGTAGAAATGTCTCTTTCTTCCCCCAACATCCGCATTTATTTTTTATAAATCATCCGACATCGAGTTGCAAAGTATGAAAAGCATTATTTGCAGATTCTACAATCTTCACGTGGAAGCAGCATCGTGCAAAGAAATCTAAACTTATTTACGAAAAGAAGTTTGTGATAGTCAAGTCGGATTTGGTGCTAAATAAAGAGGATTGAGTTGAATATGAAGAAGACTGATAAAGAGGACTATTGCTGACATCAAAAGATAGATGGCAATATAGAAAATCTGGAGATTGCTTTAGAACGCCATTGAAGTGGGCTTGTGTAGGTTCAAAGAGTGACTCGAAATTAGTATACCAGAAGAGAGAAGGTTTTGATATGATTCTATAGATGTGTTTCAAACTAAAAAGCCTGTCCATCCTTCCTCGTACTGAATGGAGAGAGGTCTAGTACCTGGGAGATCACTTGTTTATAGAGAAACTCTGTCTTCACCACCGTCGTAAGGAGCATAGAAACCCCTTTTCGCTGCACATTTGACATTTTCTGGTACGTGCAGGCACTTTTTCCATATGTAAATCTCACTTCAACAATAGCGGAAGGATATAAAAACTACCGGGTGTACCTCAAATTCATTCCAAAAGTAATTCCGAAGGGCTAGTCCAAAAGGCACATCTAAAGTTTGCTTCGACACTTACTCTCTGCTTCGTGATGGTATGATTGTCTGAGATAATGTAAATGGTAAACATTCATACCACTTAAAGAGGAACACCATGAGACACGCAGCAAAAGTATGGTTGGACTCTCTGATTTGAACCTGGAATTATTATCGACAGTTTGGAGCTATGCTAAATAGCACATGATTAAGTTCCGATTCCTCTGCTAGACACAGAAGTACAATGCAATCACAAATATGGCATGCATCCCCCATTTTGGTCTCACTCCCATGGATAAAGATAAAAAGCACGCATCAATCTTTCCAGATCGACTCGCTTCAATAATCACATTAATTGTGGTAGGCCATGGGAACGAATATGCACAGAAAGAAAGACAAGCAGGACCGCATAGAAAAAGTACCATACCATTACCATGATGAGCATACAGTGTAGTGTGTGTACACAGATAAGTGGCATGTGAGGGTCAAAAGCAAGAACATAAACCATCAATCTGCTGAAACCTATGAGTCCCGGAACCAGATTAAAACAAGATAAAGTACCTCTGAAGTATGAAGTGAGGTAAAGCCATGAGCTCAATCCGTTCTAGGCTAATAACTTTCCCCCGGTAAAAGAGTATAACTGATGATGCAAAAGGCGAATTCCTTCTATAAAGAGAAACATAGACAACAACGGATTCAATTTATTGTGGAAGTACGCAAAACTACAATTCACATACCCCACCAATGTTTTCACTTTTTTAGGCAAAATGCCATGACACTAGTGGACATTTAAATTATTTTCGTCTGGAGAATCACGGAAGGCTGTGTTCTCCATAGCAGATAGAAAGGAATCGCCATCCAAAGTTTATGGTCAAGAGTCAAGACAATGGCTTTCGCTGGCCTTCAAGTCTAGCATAGCGACAACATCACAAATTAACCTAGTGATTGCAGAAAGTTCCTGGATCAATAATTTTGCTGAGGCTAATTCAAATCCATCAGATTGGACCATAAACAGATAAAAGAAAATTCCATATGGACAAAGGCAAGATAAAATCAGGCAATATGTGAAAAGCAGAATACGTGCTTTTGGTTTGCAACTCATAGTCCAATAGAAGGTTAATATGATTCATAACGGCAAAGTTTTATAGACAGTAAGGAAAGTATCTAATAGATAACAAGAATGGGAGAAACTTTACACAACAATAACAACTTGTGGTAATCCACCATGTGGGAATGAATGCACCACCAGTCTCAACTTGCCATTATGGCAAATGAACCAAACTTCCTTGTAGTCCCACTAGTCTCATATACAAAACCTAGCACATAATAACCATAACAGTAACAATCAATTACCTTGTACTTGCCATCTTCAGCACATTACATGCACACACACACACTGAGAAAAATATTTTCACAGTTCAGGGACATTAGCTTTGGTGTCTGTAGACATGTTCCGATCTAACATTGGCTCCACCGGTTCCAAGGGATTATGCTCATCAATGGGCAGAGAAGCAGGGTTCATGTCATTGTTTCCAGAAGTGATAGTAGCCTTGGCTTCCTTGTCAATTGGCTCCAGTAACACAGAGGTAAGACTGCCAGAATAGTCATTGACTTCTGCCATCCTTGCAATTTGCTCAGGCTGTCTCACTTCATGACTTGGATTTGCAGAGACACTGATAGCTGCACTTGCATAAGATTTGGTGGACTCCACTCTTATAAGCTCATTGGGCACGTTATGCTTAAATGTGGCCACTACAAGCTAATGAAATAAAAAACCAGTGTGTCAGACTCTTATAAAATATTGATCAAACAGAAAAATTAATTTTCTTATCGCAAAAAACATTTGAACAATATGCAAGCGCTAAATGAAGACATTGTACTTGCACATTATGATCGTGTCAGCAAACTTGTGCTAAAACTCCATTTGTTTCACTGAAAATTTTTACGATAAAAGAAAATATTTTCCATGAAAATCATTTCCAAGAAAAATGGTTAATAACTTATTATTCATTTGTTTGGATGATTTAGGGAAAATGATTTCCTTCTTGCCAGAAGGAAAAGTTATTTTCCCCCAATCTAAACTTGTTGTTTTCAGTTCATGGAAAATGTTTTTAGTAGACCGATTAGTTTTATGTTATCCAAACACCGAAAAGTCGGGAAATAATTCCTCAGAAACAATTTTTCATCAAAAAAATGGACCCTAAGAGTTAAGCTAACTCATATTGGTCAATATAGAACAATAGAGAGTCAGCATCCACTCTAGTGCGGTGATCTAGCTTTTGCTATAATGAGCAACTTAGAGAAAGATACCATTTAAGACCAGGGGTCATAGGGTGCAACCGATGTAATAAAGGAGAAAGACGCATAGTTTGGCAATTTCACTTTACATGACAAATATAAAAACATTACTTGAGTAGGGCCAGCAGCTATCAATGGACCAGCAACTCCACCGCCAAAAACCCTACCATCAGGCTTAGCAAGCATGACACTGACCAAGCTAAGTCTAGGGTGCGTAGAAATTCTACCTTCCCAAATTGTAAATGAGCCATTCAGGGCCAAAATTTCAAAACACCCCTGCACAACAAGGAGAACATAAAAAAGCCGAACTAAACCTTGCAGTCAGTTGCTCTTTCTATTATTTAAGGACCCGAACCGATCTCTACCGTAATTCAAAGAAACCAATCCGTACGACCTGAAGTATTTACTGTTCCTCATCCATACTAATGTAGGATTTGGTTGGTCAAGGTTCAGCATAAAACTTGAAAAGAAATAACTTCTATAGAGAACCAAAACCGATACAAAGATGCCTCTAGTAACAAGTATTCTGAGTTTTTCCCTCATCTGCACCTTTCATCAATAAGAACAAATTCAAAACTTGCCATTCCACACTAGAATACTAAAAAAGCGGTTGAAATTGTAGATTCTTGTTCAAAGAAAGTCCACAGGTAGCAACCAGTTGAAAAGGTAATGCTATGATTAACTGCTATAAAGGGGGGTGGGGGGCGCGGTCGCGCAGAAGAAGCTGATTAAGAGATAAATAAACTGTTGTTTCATGGAAGAAAAACTGCAAGAGGATTGGCCGTTTCCCCCAGAACGCAACTAGCCCTCGGCAGGAAGTTCATGCAAGCTTTCATACTATGTATGCCCATGTAGGATGACCAGTGGTTAATTTGTAATCAACAGAGGGAAGAGCGGATGGAAAGCTCTGTTTTCATCGGCACTAAATGAAGACACAGGAGTTAAATGACAAATCCATATCATGCTGCAGATGTCCCCTTTTAACCAATAAGATACAGAATGTAGGATCTTCATGATTTTGGTACATGATCCAGCATCAGGAACTGAGAAAGTAGTGTTAATCGCGGCCGACACAATACCTCATAACTCAAAACACCGCCAAGAGGCCCAGGTTGGCGTACGATGGCACTGGAGACAGCACCAGTTGCCGAAAGCACCGAGAGCGAATGAGTGTCCGGTTGAATCAAAGATGATAACTTGGCAAGAATTTCCTAAAGACAACGCAAATCTTTTAGGATGGGACCCATCACATTACAATGGGTATCAGGAAAAAGAACACTCCATAGGAAACATCCATATCTCACCTCCCCTCTATGTACGGTCACCGTCTGAGCGCCGAAGCTTCCTCCAAGTCCCCCCGTTGGACGTCCACCTTCACAGAATAGGTTCAAACATCAGGAGAAAAAGAAGCATGCTCAAATCGCTACAACGAACGGATTTGTACACACAAATCGCATGAAACGAAGACGTTTCTGATTCTAGTGTTGGCGATCACTCACCAACGGGAGCGACATGTAGAGTCCCACTGGAGGAACCTCGGGGCCTCCCTCTGCCGCGCTTCACCGAGACCTCCGGCGCGAGGCTCCGAGACGACGACGACGATGACGACGGCCGCATGACTCCTCCGTCGACTCCGTACTTCCTCGGCCTCCCTCTCTTCTTCTTGACCGCGGCTCCGGCGACACCGGCACCCGATCCCCCCGCGCCCGCTTCGGATCGCGATTTCCCCCCACCGGCATCGCCGCCATTGCCTCCCGCGCCGAGCCCCGCGCTCGCCTGCAGCACGACCCGCGACTCGTCGGCGCCTCCGCCTTCCATGGACGCGAATCCTCCGCGCCGCCGCGAGCTCTGGAAGCAGAAGCAACGCGAGACATTTCTCTAGCGTTTGTCAACGAAGCTCGGGGAAGGGGAAAAAGCGCTCGTCGGAGGAAGACGACGACGACGACGATCGCCAAACGAAGGCGTTCGGAGTGAACAGCGAGCTTGGCAAAGCGCGCCGGAAATGGAAGAGAAAAAGAAGAGGGAAAAGAAAAAAAGAAAAAAAGGAAAAAAAAAAAGAAAATAAAATAAAAGAAAATAAAATTCACCTGCTTTTTTCCGCTGACGACGACGGATTTAGTTTTCTTAATCCTGGTTTACCAGTGCGGTAATGGAGATTAAAGATAATAAAAAAACGCCCGGACGGTTGGTTTATCAAGCGAAGCGCCAGATATTTTGGATTCCCAAAATGCCCCCCTGGGAATATCTAATTATTTTTTTTTATTTATTTTTCCCTTTTTTGTTGGGTTTCCTATCATTCCGCATTTGGCAAAGGATGGACGTATAGAAGAGCAGCTGCAATTAGAGATGGATTTCTCATAATTGCGAGAGATTTTGTTACCATATTCGATATTTCTCATAATTAGAGATGCATTTGCCAAAGAACAAGAGATATTTGGTCGCTTATTAGATGAATAAGGGACAGATTCGGTAACGAGGAATTTGTATATAAATATTAGATCATACGTGTCTACCCTCTATATAGATGATCAATTTACATAAGAAATTTGTCTTTGCGGAAATGATCAGCCCGAGCTAGGCAGGCCAAGCCCTACATTTGGTAAATTGAATATAACTTCAGAAAGGATGACATATATCTTATATATTTTGTCGAAGATTTGAGGTGACCGGATTTATCCGGATAAAATAATCTCCGACTTATATCCGGATAGGACAAGGAATATAAAAAATGAAAAGACAAGAAAAAGGATGGAGAGAGATAGATGAGGAGGAGGAGAAGGCAATATTTGCTTATGCTAAGTGAAACCGCAAAAAGATTGATCGATGGAGGAGACAGAGCAGAGAGCACATTGAGCAACGAATGCCCATCCACGGCTTCCTTATCATCTCCTCTAATTGAACCAGCCCGCAAGCTCCACCGCCATTCGACGTCGGAGCAGTGCTTAGCCATTATCCCCCTCTATCTCACGCTCTCTAGAATCGTTTAATCCGTTGGATCGACGCGGTCCGACGCTCTAGACCTTGAATTTGAGGCTCACGACCTCATATCCGAGGTTGCCAGAAAAAAGGGACCGTAGAGCTGAAGTCACCTGAGGGGGTGGAGCTCAGGCTCGACATCGATTGCGGCCAAAAACAGAGGTCGCAGCTGCGACCTTACGTTCGTTGAAATTGTAGGTAGCAGGCTAACGCTAGAGGCATCTGAGGCTAGGCTGGTCATCGGTCATGGCGATCGTGTCGTGACCGGTGACCTTAATGACTGCCTTGCTAAGAAACACTAAGAAAGTCACCCCAATTACCATAGAGCAAAAGTTAAGTAAAACGACAAGGTTTGAGAAAGCGAAAAAGACACAAATAGCCAATTTTCTTGGGAAGAATCATGAGAAGGTGAGAAGATAGTCGAGACTTGAAAAAAACTAGCCAATTTTCTTGGCTCATCTCGAAGGGAGAAGATGAAGTTCAGACTTGAAACGGGTGAGGGAGGAGGAAAAGATTGAGATTTGATTCAAGCGCATATCTATATCCATATTATATCCGGGCCTCTACCAAACACTATATAAGACATTATAAATCCCATTATCATATATCATCTTCATCTTATCCGACAAAAAAAAAATCCAGATGACGAAACGTTACCTATAAACTAGGCTTGTCTGATCCATCCCATTGCCTTTCGGCTTGGCCAGGCCGGCCAAGCCGCCAAGCCCATAGTCAGATTCAAATGGCCATTAGGATTTTCTTCCATCGGCCGAGTAAAAATATGAGTGACCAAATGAAACTGGATCAATACATATTTCTAACTTCTTTTATAGAATAATCAAATAACGATCAACATTATCCTATACCATCATATCCTATCGACTTCTTCGCATGCATTTGCAATCAAAAGATCCACGAAAAAGGCGTGAATTTAGGGAAGAAAGATACTCTCTCTTGTCAATCTCGTCCACCAAAAAAGCTGATCCATCACCCACAGATACTAGTCCATAGCTGGTCAGTGATATGGTGAAAGACCAAGTTGCCATGACAATTCCGGAGTCCCTGGCCAGACTCATAGTTGTCTATCCATGATTTGGCTCTTAGCCGTCGGCATCTTTATTTTCCCTCAACATTATGAATAAATTCAATTTCGCAAAAAAATTTCAAATGCACCACCAGCATTTGAATGAGAAGGGGTTGAGAAGACGAAGGTGACATCAAACAGAAGCAGACTTCTTTCATTCCGGCTCATCCAGATGTCCAAACAGCTCTTCCCAGTGAGACGAAGCTTCCTCTGGCGTCCGGAAAGTCCAGATATGTTGCTTGGCTTTCTCGCGGGTTTCCAGGATTTCCTGCGAAATAGTCCACTCCCTCATTAGTTTCAGTAGAAAAGAGACGGATAAATTCTAATAAGCGAATTTCTGATTAGTTTCAACAGCATAAAAACAAGCCAATTGTCTCAAAATGAATACACCATAACCCACAGTGACAAGGAAAAGGTGTGACAGTATAATTCAGCAGAACAGTTTTTAGCTAGTTGCATAACAGGAGCAGGGAAACATCGATACAACTAAGTGGAGGAATTTCCCGACTTTTCCAAATAAAATTTGTCCTGCGATATGCAGGATAAACTTTAATGCACGAGGGTGACAATTCTAACTCTTGGCAGCGGAAGCATTAGAACAGATGGTAAGACCTCTACAAATAGTATGGACTTCCTGCCCAGAGGCTCGGTTCTCCTCCTCTTACAGTCCACACAATGAGTGAGCATTCATCAATTTCTTTTGGAATGAGGATTCGCCAAACTTTTATCCTCCTAAAAGAGAAAAGGCATGAAAAAAGAAGAGCATTTCTACTCCTTACACTAGCAGAACTCTGGGTATCAGTTGTGCATGCAGTGATTTTCTTCACACTGTCAAAACTAAGTCCACCAAGTGACACATGATATCAGAATTTTCATAAGTAACTAAAGGTTCAATGGCCATCCCTTTATTAGAAAAGATGACAGAGGAGAAAGAAAATATCTACGCTTCGATCCAAATTTATAAAAGTAGTGGAGCAGACACTCGGTATTTGGAAAATCCTATGGTCATGCTCCTCGATTGATGATTCACCGTCATCCAGAGATAAAGCTCCACCAAAACACCCAAGAAAACGAGGAGTTCACCAATTTAAACAGGAGAAAGAAACTAGCTCAAAAAGGTGTACAACAGAACATGATGGAATGGAAAGGAATCGAGCCTGTCTAGCATCATCCTAGTTCTAAAATCTTTATAAGTCATTAAAGCAGGGGGACTGTACAAGTACTTCTCATCAAACCTAAAGCTATAAATCCACATATGTTTGCCACTTTCACCAAACCGACCAGCTTCCAGCTCTTCCAGGGAAGAAAGAGAAGAAAGAAAAAAAAGAAAAGAAAGACAGAGGAATTCTTCAACATCCTTATCTAGCTATAACAAGGCTATCGGCGGAGGATTTAAACATAAGAAAGAATAGAAAGATGATCCATTGGAAGTACTGCTTAAACTCTTTAGAGGATGAGGACCCAAGAACATTAGTGAACATGGCAATGAAACAAGCAATCGCAGAAGAATATCAGCGTTCACCATCACATGTCGAGGAGGAACCAACAAGCAAATCTCAAAGCAATAATAATAGAAAAATCATCTAAGAACATGCCGTCCAATGTCCACCCTAAACGAGCCCGAGCAATGTGCTGTGAGAGCTGTCGCCCTTCCGCACGAATGCTCACTCTTTCTCCCTACCTCTATCTTAACTTGAATCCAATCATCTTTACTACTTTGTCAATTTCCCGAGAACATTATGCAAGCATTTCTTCGATTCTTTGAGACAATTACATCTATTTCTAGACTAGGGCGAGTTTCATCTCAATTATTTCCAGACTTCGGTCGACTTCGCCGCATTTCATTATCTTCATCGGTCGGCATTCACTTGGAAGACCAAATGCTTCATCCCTAAACTCACTTCCAAGCTCCAATTTCTATCAGTTTCACTACTCCTGGCATAACAAAAGAAGCCGGAAACCACCGAAAGGGACTTCTCGCGCCGCAAGCACTTGCACTATCCGCGAATGAAATGAGGCGAGCAGCGGCGCGAAGACGAAGCAATCACTGACCTGAACCTCGGACGCTCGTTTGGTCTTGAGAGTCAGGCAATCGACGAGGGCGCTCCACTTTCCGGAGCAGTTGTCGAGAACCCCCGCCCGGTAGTACTGCTGCATCTGATGAACCGGAGCTGCCGCGACAGAATTTGCCGAGAATTACCAAAATCGCGAGAAGAAGAAGACGACGAAAGGAAACAGCGGAATCGCAGGCCAAAAATTCGAGGTAACGCAAGGTCAGAGACGAAGTAGATCCTTCGCCCAGAGCTCCCCGTTCAACCGCCGCACGCAACACATGCATCTGAGAGAGAGAGGAGAGAAGGAGAGAGAGAGTGTACAGTAGCAGAACCAAAGAGCGTTGAAGCAGGTGGTGCACGACAAGCGCCGCCGCGGGACGGCGGAGGAGGCTTCTTCGTCCGCCGACGCCATGATCGCAGACGCTCGACCGGGCCGACGTTACGCACGTGCCGATTGCGGAGCGCGAGGGCGAGGGAGATTTTCTCTTTAGGACCCGTCGAAGCCCTACGGATCCGATCCGGGCTTATGCCGGGTCGGACTCCATTTCATATCCTGCATTTTTTGCGATGAAATTCGAGTTGTCAAGCCCGAGTTCGAGGTTGAATTCATTTATTCCCCGTAATCAATTGAAGTTAAATTGAACTCAAGTTTTTTGCCTTTTTCTGTTTGAGTTAAGCTCGAGTAACAAACTTAATACTGAATTGTGCTCGAGTTGGCTAGAGTCGAGCTTAAACTTGCAACAATGTTGACTCGATTATACTGACTCGACCTGATTCGACTAAAAGCCCATTCTTTTCCTCGATTTATAACGAGTAACATCTTAACACGACACATCAAGTTTTTTATATATAAACATTTAGTCTACAATTTTTGTACAATTTTTCCATAACTTTTTTTAAAAGAAAAAATTTCATTTTAAATTTAACGGGGAAATCATTCATAGAAATTGAAAGAAACTGCCCCAAAAGGTCCGCCTTTCCCGTACAAACCTGTACATCTGCTTTGATCAAGCATTATATTTCACAAGCCCACTGAACCCAAAAGAGTAAAACAGTGTTCCCATTTCATTGTCTCTCCTTCCTAATTGAATTGATCATCTAGCAAAAGGGTTAAAAACTACAAAAAGCAAAAAAAAAAATAATTAAAAAAAAATACAAGGATTAACAGGATTTCCAAATTTTAATGCAGTAGCCTCTTGCTACATCCACACCATTCTACTCATCAACGAGGTCCGGCAGCAAAACCGTTATAACACCATACGATCGTCTTACTGAGATAAGCTTGCGCATATCATATGCTTAAGCCTGTACAAAGCCGAGGCACCAAGACAACATGTTTTACATTCGACTTTCGAGAAAATAATGCAATTATTTCGACGACGAATCGCAATATGTTGATTCTGTCGAAATGAAGCTATATTGGAACATACAAAATCCACCCGACCCTTCATTTCAACGTTTTCCCACGTCTCGCTCCCATACAACTGTTCTCGAGTTCAGTCCTACCAAGAACGGGAACCGGAACCCCCCAAATATCCATGAAAAACCAATTGCATCAAAGCCTGCTCTGATTTCCTCTCCATTAACTTATGAAACATCCATGGCCCCGAATGACCTTATCAGACTTGCCTCCAACCGGAGCCTGATAAATCTAGAATTAGCGAGCCTAGATAGCCCAACTTCTTTCACAGCAAAGCAAAGCGAGGATTCTTTTACTATGCTGGTTTCTGAGAAATCTGGATCTTCATGGCTTTCTAGCTCCAAGTCATCTCAAAAAAATCACTAGAATGGGAATTTTGTGAGGACTATGTGAAAAGCATCTTCAGCTCCTCTATACGTGCCGTGCGAACTTCTTGATCCGTCAAAGCACCGGATATAATTCGCTGTTTGCGTGCTTGCACTGCTTCCATCCTCTCCTCAACCGTTCCCTGCCATTTGCAGATGTCAACAATTGTAAGGCTCTAAAAACACGAAACAGTCAAAGAGGAGAAAACACAGTAATGGATAACAATCACAGACATAGTAAGGACTTTATCAGAGAAATAGCCGCCTCATGCAAGTATGTAAATAATGCACCTGGTAACAAGCAAAATCATCTTAAAAAATGCCAAAATAGAAGGAAATGGGCATAAATCTAAGTGCGTTACTGGTAACAGTGCACAAGTCAAACGCCACACTCATGGATGTGAACCATGAGATCATCAAAAAATTCTTCAACCAATAAAAGAAATGAACCCAGTTACCCACCACATGAACGAACATCATTCACATGATAGTCATCTTTTTCTTGGCCAGACATGATAAGTCACCTTGACAACACCTAATTTCAACCCCCAAAACTTAGAGATTTCTGCTGCTGGAGCCATTAGAGCCAAAAAGGATAAATCCCATCCATACAACTACTCAGTCTAAGGAAATAGGGAAAACCTTCACAATGAACCGTTTGATCATCACACTTTTTGTTTGCCCAATACGATGAATGCGCATGACAGCTTGTTCCTCCACTGCTGGATTCCACCATGGATCCTGCAGAATATTTTAGGACAACGTGAATACTGTATTAACAAATTTTCTTCTTTAAGACCTTATGAAAACATTTGCCTAAAACTTTTCAAGCTTCTGCAAGAATATTAAATTTGGAGATTACTGCAAGCAATGCAACGCATAACAGAACTTCATCCAAGGAAAGCCCCCAATGCATTGAGAGTGGATGCCGGTTAGATGGAGCACAAAAGTTAGCTCAAACGTTCCGGTTCTTCTACATGAGCACTATCCCTGTGCTATTATAATCTTGAATAGAGCCACATTCCCTATTGCCTTTTTCCTGATATTAAAATGTATCTTACATTTACTATTCTTATCCGAACAAGGCAATATTGATCCTAAATATTTCCCGAAAGCATCTTTCCGTACTCTTTGAATTTATCATCAGTAACGTAAGCTGAAATCAGATCATAAAGTTATACTTTATTGAAGATAGCAGCTTATACTCCAGTAAGATAACAAGAGGCAACACATTTGATCCAACTAATCCAAATAGTACCAGCTTACCAGGACAAAAGCATTGGAAGCAGCTATCAAATTTACTCCCACCCCACCAGCCTTCAATGACATCAGTAAGACCTAAGCAAATAGATCATCCATGGAAATCTATCAGCCAAAACAAATCATCCCCCAAACACCAGCAAAACAAAAGTTAAAATATAAAGAAAGTAAAAAGAAGAAACCAAAGGACAAAACTATCTATGCTAACCCGAATATCATTGTCCTCTGAAAACCGTTTAATCACATTTTCACGCTGTTGCTGACTGAGAGACCCATCCAGACGAACAAATGGAAACTTATTTCTGCAAAAAATTGGTGAATATTCAGATGACAAGCTAGAGAGAACCATAAAGAAAATTGACAACTATGTAAATGCAGAAAAAATCACTGGCACTTAGGCTCTATTTCTTTTGCAGAAAATGAATGATTTGGAAAACATTTTCCTATAAATAATTGCCTGCATCGTTTGAATTAAATAGCCTGTGAAACTTTTTTTCATTATCGATAAGTACTTATGTCTAAACATTTTTGTAAACGGTGAAAATATTTTTCTTTCATTCATTTTGTAACGATATAAGCAATCACTTTTAGAATAATATTTTTCAAATTATTCATTTTCCACGAAACAAATGCACCCTTAATTGTTTATAGCCTTAGGATATTCACAACTCTTTTAGTTTGTATCTATATAGATAACCTAAAAAAACTGCTTGCATATAGACAACACAACGTTATGTCAGGCATAAAGCATAGAGCAACAAAAATAAAAGGCATCATGCTCATCTACAGAAAGCATTTCAGCACATACACGTAAGCCGTTTACAAAAGCTGCAGGACCTAGCCAGGAGCAGAAGTGCACATTAAATAGTGGTTCATATTTGCTACTTCGTAAAGTGAGGAAAAAAGAGGTTTGGATGACTTGGAAATTTTGGATCCAAACCAACTATACATCCCTCTTAATGAGATACTAAGGTACTCATGAAAATTGCTGTTGCAAATCCTACCGAGAAAGAGGAATCTGCAAAAGGTCCAAAAAGGCAGTCCATTGGCTGAAAACAATGCTCTTTGAGCCTGAAGACCGAAGGTTCTCAAGTTCATGCAAGAGAGCAGAAACTTTGGATGATTCAACCCAGTTTTTCTCAATGTCAACTTGAAAACGACTTTCAGTTGGTGCCGTGATCAAATCTTGTCTAGTGATAGTTTTCCTGCAAAGTACAACAAAGATCACAATACTTACTGACGTACCTCAAAACGCAGATTTAAAATGGGACAAGACTCTAAGGAGGAATGAAAAAATGATGATTAGACTTCTATAAATTGCGTGAGCTTTCCCAAAATACCTACAAACAGGACATAAACCAGAATTTGAATTACGCCAACTTGCCAAAAGACACTCTCTGCATAAGCGGTGAGCACAAGATGTTAGAACTGCATCTTCAAAGGCTTCAAGACATATCGGGCATTCTCCTACTTCCCCCTTGCGGAGCTCTTCCATGACCTCTTGAACATAAGCCCGCGATGGTGCATTACTGTTCCCCTCATCCAGGACACTCAGACTTCCTTTTAAGAAACGTCTCGCTAGCTTATTCAGGTCAGCATATTCCTGTGTATCCCCTCGACTGGAGAGACAAGCCACAAATCACTAAGCATTAACACGATGAGAGCTTCCTAATATATAGAACTAGATGTAACACAGATAGAACGCATAATAATGCAATGAAAAGAATACTCTCAGAAATCACAATTTCAGCAGTGCCATCCAGCAATTAGATGTTCTGAAACAACAATCAGAGGAAAGAAACCTACACAGGAAGCATTGTTTTCCCACCCTATTCCATATTCATGGATAGAACTGCTGAAATATTATCCCACATCGATTAACAACGGGTCCTAAATGCTCTTTATATTCATGTGGTCTCCCTCCACCTAATAGCTTAAGCTTTTGGGTTGGACTTTCTAACATGATATTAGAGCCAATGCTATCCCTTTCACAAATGTGCGTGGTAAAAATTCCATGTGAATGTGCGATGTCAAAATTTCATGTGCTGCTCGTAATCCGGCTTGCACGTGAATGGGGGTGCTAAAGTATTATCTCACATCGATTGACAACGGGTTTTAAATACTCTTTATATTCATGTTTGCTTAAGCTTTTGGGTTTGACTTTCTAACAAAAACTATAACTGTAAGGAGTAAGTTTCACTCGTTTCTTCTTTTTCCCAATCTATGTTTTCTAAAATAAAATTATGACAGTTTAAAAATGTAAAAAGAAGGTTATGTGATGAAAAGGTGTAGAGTCCAACATAAACAAGACAAAGAATTATCATGCAACACAGTTCCTACTTAATAAAAACAACAACAATAATAAGAATAAGAACAAAAAATCAACGAATATGTTGCTCAATGAAAGTATCCATTTTCTTGACCGTTGACGCTTTTCATATTACTAGTTAGTGTATCTTTTTATGGAAGAAGATATATCTAGGAAGAAAACGACACCTTCACAAGCACACAAGGAGGTTTATGTTTAGCTCTGCCAAAACAAGAGTGTATTTTGTATGAGTTAATGTATTCCGTTTCTCACAAAAAAGCTAATAGTTAAGATATGGAACATGGAGTAGAAAGCAAATGAGAAAAGCAGATTCCAAGAGTGGGTAGATGCTAAACATATGGAATTTAGCAGCACTTCTCATCATTTTAGTTTCTGATAAGACCACTACCGCAGAGTTTGGGATAATATTTCCGTGTCTATACAGACACAGAGAAATATCCGGATCATATTTCTGTTCAAAAAGACCTTTTGAATTTACCAATTTCATAACAATCTTCCCGGTGTTATACAATAGCATACACCACCTCACTTCCATGAAGTGATCATCATACAGAGGCAATGCAACTATACATAATAGTAAGGACGAACACATAAAGATACCACACCTCATCACAAGAAATGGGTGATCACAACATTGGCGAAGACGTAAAAGTAACTCCAATATCGAAGCATAATTGTGAAGAACCCGGCCTTGCTCAACAAATTGATCAAACTTGACCTAGAGAAATTAAATGCTTAATCAAAATGGGAATAATAGTGCCTATTCATAATGAGAATAATAATAAGAAACTATGTTCCGTTTGATTCACATAAATCAACAATTTGAAAAATATTTTCCAAACTATAATCATTTTCTTCGCTTAAGAAAATGAGTCAATGAAATATATTTCCATTATTAACAACAATCAACGCCTAAACAATTTTGCTGATAATGAAAACATTTTCTGTCAACTCATTTTGCTAAAAGATATAGATGATCACAATTAGAGAAACATTTTCCAAATTATTGATTTTCTACAAAACATACAGAGTCTAAACGGAAATTTATCTTCCATAAAACTGCCGATGGGGACACAAACCTTCGATTTTTTAAAAAGTGCTTCGTAGAAGTCCTTTTCAGCTTCGCTCAATTCACAATAAATGATCTTAACATCAGCTGGAGGAAGAACTAGAATAGGCCTGCAGTTGCACAAATTAAAATCTAGATTCGAATTAAACAGAAGGAAGAGACCAAGTACTGGCATGTCCTCTATCATTCTGCTCACCTTCCTTCTCGATCTGTGGTTAACTTTGTTCTTCTCAGCATAATCGGCTTTAAGATTGTTTGCACCAGTTTCAAGCCCCTCTCGTCCCCTTCCTCAAATGGTCTTTGGATGAGTTTATTCCACCTAGATAAAGGTTTATGGATCATACATTTAAAGGAACACTGTAACTATATCTTAAAAGGAAAATTCATTGATAAAGTAACAAAGGAAGATTCACAACATTCCATGAAATCAAAAATAGAGGTTAGAATCTCTAAAAGATCCTCAGTCTTTAAACTATTAGAATTATTTCTGAGGATTCCTAGAAAGCATCAGAAACACAAGGTCCTGAGAATACACACCAAAAGCATATCAGTGCCATGACAACTCAAAAGCCACCATCAATACAGCTCTCTTACCAAAATGGAACCTAATTGGAATATCCTTAACCAGAGTGGCCATGACCCAAACATTAAACAGCAATTGAATACTGCATGCCCCACTAAAAAGGACAAAATTGATTATTAGCGCAAATTCTCAGTTTCCAAGTATCTGTCATCATATTTCTGAAAAGGGACCTTCTGTACAAATGCACCATAAAACAAAAACTCAAGAGAAGAAGTTGATGAATTATGATCACAATAAATCAGAGAAAAAAAATGGCCTTTGGCATATCAATGATATCTTTCTCATCCGCTGAACTCAATGCCAACCCTTGAGCCTATAAAAATTCAACTTATCCTAGCAAGTTCTGAGAGTATAAAGGTTGATGAGAAAAATCTGCATTATTGGTGCCACAATAAGTTCAAGAACTGAACACGCCAATAAAAGGTAGACCAATATCATGATGAGTAGTGAGTCACAGGCTGCTTAATCTGACATTCCGTAGCTTTTACTGATTCTTGTGCACAAGCTCGAAAAATGATCTGAGCAAGATCTCGGCTATTAATTCAAACTATGCAAAATTAACTGAGACATGTCATCCACTCTCAACGTACCTGTTATATTAATCAGCAAAGGTTTCATTACAACATGAGCTCTTCTTCAAGAGAAAATGAGCTTCAAGCAATCGGTTAATTCATAATTGCCCAAGCTTATTACATCGTCATACTTACACTTTCCAATGTTCAGCAGTACATCAAAAATGGAACATTGAATGATTTTTACATATGAAGAGGCTTCTTGGAAATGACAGCTTGTAATTCTAAAGGCACTCCCTCATATATCAAATTTAATAAGACTTCTCTTCGTAAATGGACACTCTAAGCATCAAATTACGTAAAGAAAAGTGGGAAAAATGTACAAGGCTTACCACGCCCAGTTGGCCCAAGGCTCCACTCTCAGAAACCGAAGAAGACTGTAGATGTCCTCAAGACTGTTCTGTGACAGAAAAAGTACACACGCCGAGGCCCAACAATATATCAGATAAAAATGCATAATAGTTTTTCTTGTCTTGAAACATGACTTCGAAGTACAGCAGAGAAAAAGGGGCAAAGCTAAAGCCAGCACATCTCAGAAGTATTTGTTTGCCTAATTCTTGCAAATCCATATACATTTGGATCTCCATACACTTAAATGCAAAAGTTCACCTGAATGGGGGTACCAGTCAGACACCACCGGCAATTGGCAACTAAGGCAGCAGCAGCCATAGAAATTTGGCTCTTTGAGGATTTTATAGTATGTGCCTCATCAAGAACCACTCTGAACCACTGAACTGAGAAAAGCACCCCACTCTCCCCAGAATTCTGCAAAGTAATCAATTGTACAGAAACATAAGTCACCTGCTTATATCTAGATAGAGAGAGAGAGAGAGAGGGAGAGAGAGAGGTCTTTAAGCTACCTCTCCAGAATATTCAGAGCCTAAAACACCATATGTAGTGACTACAACGTCACTTTGTGCTAAGAGCTTTGCATCCTTTGGTCGACTTTGTCCATAATGAACATATACAGAGAGAGACCCAGGTTGCACATGAGTTTCAATCTCGGCCTGTCAAAACAATTCTATGGATCTGGTAACTTGCGAATACAAATCCACCCAGGTATGTAAATCTTGACATAAACATAATACAACCTTCTCCAACAAACAAAAGCAACCTTAGCAATAGCTTATTGTATTACGCGTACCTTCCACTGGCCTAGCAAAGTCATTGGACATACAATCAGACAGCCACCATTCAACATCCTCTGCTTCATCAACTTGTTGAAGCCCGAGAACTTGATTTCCCTCTTGGATGGATTTGGAGACTGCTCTAACGTGTTTGCAGTTTCAGCACCTTCATTAAGCGGTTGAGTTATGTTCTGACTGCCCAAAGATTCACCTATTCCCTTATGAGTGAGGAGGAGAGCTATAGTCATGATGGTCTTCCCAAGACCCATAGCATCTGCCAGAATCTTCAACAAGAATCATAAATTCAATAAATAGGATGTTACGACATAAACCTAACTTAAAGTAGTAATGTCTCAATTACATACTCCTCCTCGAGCCATTTGTAGCATGCTTGGGAATTCTATCGTAGCATCCCCTGAGAACGCATTCAAATAAACAACAAGATCCCTCCTGAAAAGAAAAAATCATCAGTGAACCAACTCTAAGCAAACAAATGGAAAAAAAAAAATACCAAAAGTAGTACAAACATGCCATACTTGTCTGCCAAACGATATGCCTCCCAGCATGGATGAAGTGTAGTCGCCGCCTCATCCATGCAGCGTCCCTTCTCCCGTTGGACCATCCAGTGAAGAGCCTGCTTCTGATATGGACGAAGTTCACAGTGAAGTGTACATGGAGGATCCATCTCCTGCAGTATTACATTGAGAAGTAACTGTGACTCAATGCTGCTAACTGTAACACAACGTAGATGAAAAAATAACAAAATGGATTTGGTACCTCCAAATCAAGATTATCTCCGACACCAACTATCCTGTCGACATCAGAATCTGATATGGGCTCCTCATTTTCAGCTTCATCTCCGTTTTGACATGGATTATGAGACTTATTAGGTCGTGACAAAGGGATTGGAAGACCAGAGCTAAGCTGTTCAAATTTAATTCTTTAGTTGTTGAATTTTTTAAAATGATGTACAGAGAGGAAAATATTATCCATATACCTTTGATTCTAAGGGCCGTTTCCTTGGGAACATATCATTGGGAGTCAACTCAGCCTACTTAGCAAGAGACAAAGATGCCAATAAACTTATACAAATATATGGAGAAGTGCAAAAAAATCACCAAATTGCATTAAACAACTACAGCTTCGAAATTGTATGGAGAAAATCACACCTTCTTGAATGGTGCTAGGCCCAGCAATCGGAACAGATTTGGGAAGGGATGTACCACAGATTCATCAGCAACATTACTAGCTGCCTTGAGCGAGGCCTGCTTTTGCTCGTGGAACATAGAACTATTGATGTACACACTGGGTAAAAGCAAAGATCCATCATCATCAACTGTTACATGCAGCATTCAGGCAATGCAAGGACTAAAACAGAGTATCATCTTGTTTAAAGAGTTGCAACAGTGGGCTAATGGTGTGTCTGGCTGTAATGGATAGGACCCATGAATTCATAAAGAGACACATGCAAATCACAACTCGCCAGTCACCAGTTGACATTACCTTATTGATATCGAAATCGAGTCCATGATGCCCAACATTTCGGGAGCAGACTTGCACCATCCCTCGATCTTCACCTTCTGATCTCTCACTAGCGGCACGAGACACCGAGCCCACTCATTCGGAATTCGACCAAGCTGCCAACATTGCCATCAAAAAGCTCAGCAGTGAGAACCAAAAATCAACAGAAACACCCCCCCCCCCCCTTCCCCCGGAAAGAAAAAGGCCACTATAACTTTTCGAATTTGAAGTTGAATGGAACGGAACACACCTCTCCGCATTCCTTCGTCGAAAACCTCACAATCTCCGAACAAGCTGCAGCGCTCCGTCCTTTACCAAATTTTCCCGGCGAAGGCGACGCGGCACTCTGCTTCGGCGGAAATGTAAAAGTCAGCTTATCCCCAGGCTTCACTCTTCTCCCCTTGCAGGTGGAGAGCCCAGCAACTTCGCCGCACCCGACCAACCACCACTCGCTCTCCGCCGCCCCTGATGATTCTCTGCCATCTTCAACATCCTCTCTCAAAACCGCTCCATCCGTCGCCCCGCCGCCCGGACCATCCAGCCCGCGACCTCCTTCGTCCGGCCTCCCTTTCGAGATCACGCCGCCGCTCCTGGAGCCCGAGTTGCGATTCGCGACCCCGGGATTCCTCCGGGGCAGAGGCCGCTCCCTCGTCTTGAAATTGGGGGTGTCGAAGATTATGTTGATGGCCCTCGTGGCGTCGTTGCTGGCCAGGTGCAGGGCTCGGATTATGTCCATGTCCGAGAAATCGGCGCCGACGACGGACCGGACGGTCGACAGCAGTTCGTCCGTCGCCTTGCTCCCCATCCGGCGGACGCGAGCACCAACCCCGAGCCCTAATCGCAATCTCGGGCGAATCGAACCCGCCGATCGAGGGACGGAGCGAGGATCCTTCGGATCAAGCGAGGAATTCGCAGGTCCGGAATCCGAGAAGTTTAAGGAATTTTCGAAGGGACCGTGTTTGCATCGACAGCGATGAGAGGCGGGAGGCGTTGAAAATGGCGGGCCGGGGTTGAAGTCGGAAGCGAAAGCGAGAAAAGAGTGCGCGAGGAAGGGGGGCACAGGACACTCGACACTTTCGCTTCGCCCTTCCCGCCACGAGAGAGAGCGTGGTTCAATGCGGAACGGCTCACGGTAGCGATCGTAGGGACCATCGACGCCGCTTTTGATTCGGTTTTGGAAAATGGGCTTTTGAGGAATTTGCAAAGGGCGTTTGATCTAAACGGCTCAGGATTAAATACAAATTGCCTTTGGTTAAAGTCTTAAAGAAACCTGGATGCTTCGAGCCGAAGGTTCGATAGCTTCTTGGCAACGTCTCGAAAAGCTAATATACCTCACAAGAACTCAGACTGCAATAATGTTAATTGTGCACTTCAGCCCCAAAACTTTCGAATATTACATTTAAATCGTAAAACTTCTGAACTCATTCACATATGGACATAATTGCGCGCATGGCTTTCTTCATTGATTCTTGGGATATATGCCTTAGAAGTCCTAAAACTTTTCATAAAAGTATAATTGAGTCCTAAAACTTTCAAAAAGTGCAAACAAGTCCTAAAACTTGTCACGAAAGTGCACTTAAGTCATAAAACTTTAAAAAAGTGCAAATAAGTCCTACAACTTGTCACAAAAGTGCAAACAAATCCTAAAACTTGTCAAATTGGTTCAATCAAGTCCTTCCATTGATTGTACTTTTTGAAAGTTTTAGGACTTATTTACACTTTTGTGACGTGTTTTAGGACTTGTTTGCACTTTCGTGACAAGTTTTAGGACTTGTTTGCACTTTTTTAAAGTTTTATGATTCAAGTGCACTTTCGTGACAAGTTTTTGAATTTGTTTACGCTTTTTGAAAGTTTTAGAACTCAATTGCACTTTCGTGATAAGTTTTAGGACTTTGAATGTACTTATCCCTTGATTCTTTTACCCTACATGACCGTTAATGATCCTTGTCACCCAAAGTAAATAACCCATTTAACAAGGTTGGCTTCTTCCAACCCCGAATTAAACAAACGTAGGTATTGTTGGGAAAATCTTTTATGATGTTTTGAAAATGACAAAATAATCAAAGGCTACTGACGAGTTTAATGGTTGAGTTACCAGGTAATCCACGAATCGTTATGCATATGATGTCTTAATAAGGTGAATAAGGCATTGGGTGTAGAGGTGTTTACAAACTGGAAATATCCTAAACAAACCTTGAAAGGGGAATTCGGTAAAGTTTGAAAGTACCATGGATAGGTAACGGTGAGGTAGATCCACAATTGTCGATAGACTTGGACGTCACCAGACAACTAGACTTAAATATCACCAGACAACTGGACTTGGACATCATTAAAAGCCAGTTATAACATGGATACGAGCAAAACTCATATGCAAATATTGACATGTGTTCGGACTCTATGATAAAGTTGAATATCATCATAATATTAGTAGACTCTTGATATCTTCAGATTCTGTACTAAAACCGGATATAATCATAAATCTACTCACACATTCATACACATTGAAATATATTCAGACGCAAGCTTTAATCATCACAATTAGTGATCTGGCTGGATTTCCTATTTAGAAAGAAATGATTAACCTTCGATATTAAATATAGTTTTGCAACGACATTCTTTGTGCAAAACATCTTGATTGATTGGCAATCATTTCAAAGACAATCTACTTTCCATTATCGAAGAATTCCACCTATGGAAATTGAATATTTGCTACTATGGGCAACCAAATTAACAAGGGTTTTGATCTTATCTTTCAACAAGTTGATTGGAGAGTGATCCTCTAAAAACTGTCCAATGAGCATATTAGAAGTAGTGGAATATAAAAGGAGACCAAAGTACTGAAGTGAAAAGAGAGGTCTAGAATAAAAAATTCCAAAGTGCAAGAGAACTTCGATTATATGCACTTGTCTCTCGTGAGCTGTAAATTGTAAACTTTTTGAAAAGTGTTAGCAATGTTATACTTCGTGTTTAGGTGTAAGATAGTGAATCCTATCAGCTTGGGTATAAGTAGCACCAACTTCAGGGAGAAGTAGTTGGGTATAAGTGGTTATTAGTGTGGATTTCAACTAGAAATCTTCTTGGATTTTAAAAATATTTCTAGTGAAATCTAGCAAGTAGGCTATTAGTGTGGAAAAGTAGATGTGGGCTTACATCAAGTCAAACCACTATAAATTATTTGTGCAATTTCTTCTATCTCTCAAACTCTATCTCTTTATTTTAATAGAACTTTCCACACCTTGATTATCATCATATCACCATCAATATTCAGCTTTACCTTCACTCGACTTTGATAAAATTCAACTTGATTGTCCTACTTCCGCATTATATTATCAAGTTTTTGTAAAATCACATATTCATCCCCTTCTATGTTATATTGCTAGCTACAATAAGTGCTACTGAAAATGGAGAATCTTAATCGGTCAATGAACCCTAATTGGCGTTTGATTTGGGACCGTGGCGAGCAGAACGAGCATGCCCCATTCAATAAGAAAATGAAATTAGAAATGTCATAACTTTGGTACATTACTTACTTTAGTGTAAGAACTTTTCGCCGAATTACTTTAGTATGATCACTTAAGTGCCTTTGATAATATATTCCGGCAAAAAGTCATATGTGGCTTTTTTAAATAAAATTTTAAATCAAGCGTGGCTTTTTTATTGAAAAAGCAAGTGGACGATGAGCTTGGCCATCCCATACCTAAACGACGTCGCACCTAAAAAACTCTCTCAAATAAACAAATATCTTTGTTGACTTTGACTCTGTCTATCTATCGTTCACTGTTTGTACTCCATTGCTCACTCGCTCGCACACCATCTCTCGCTCACTCAATTTGCGTCATCCTCTCTCGTTCACTTACTCGATTGATGCGAGAAAAAATTAGGGTTTGGCTCGGGGTTAGAGGGAAAAATTAGGACTCGGTGGTTGGAGGGAAAAAATTAGGACTCGGTGTCAAATCGGCAAGCGTTCTGCTTATTCTCGCCTTCGTCCTTGCTTTGTCGACATGAACTTGAACCGCTTCTGCTTATTGTTCTCTCCATTGCAAGATTTAGATATTAATTTTGCCCCAAAATCGTCGGTTTGAATCAGGCTTTTCAATGAGAGATTTGCGATTGCAATTAAAGTTTCTTAAGTATATAGAGAGGTCCCTCCCTGTAATTCAACAATCCATAGAAGAGCGCACTCTCTCAAACATTCTCTCTTTACGATCCAGGTCGGCCAAATGAGCAAGCGGGGTGAATGAGCCATTCCAAGCCTAAGCGTTGCACGATCACGATCTCAAGTGTTGCCCCGTGATAATATATAGTAACTTCATTCAACATCGACGATGATGACTCCATAGCTTAGTTCCCAAGCCAGTTCGGGCGCCGAATAATAATATAGTGTCAGGAACTGATGTTTCCATTGATTGTCAACTCTAATCCTTAATCAAACCAAACTCCATTTAATAGCAATTACTTACGCAAAATGGCCAATTTCAGTCAATGGCACCTGCAGCTCAACTCAGATGCACAGAAGCAATCCGAGTGCTGCCTAAGAGAAATTGAAAGATCACTTCGGATGATCGAGCATCATCAACGACCACGCGAAAATGGCCGTGACTTATCAATTTGTCAGTCTTTATTTCGCGGTGGAACTAGGACGCGATTCGTGCTACTAGATGCAATCAATCGAAATGGAGTCATGTGTCGAATCGCTTGGCACCCGTACATTTCCTTCCTTCTTCTTTTGCGCGGTTACCGCATACGTATATCCTGCATATGCACGGACACGACGCAGACAGCAATGCGAGCTAGATGAGGAAAAGTCCGGATCGAAAGTCCCGAACTCGAACAAGGAATACAATTAAGTTTCAAACCTCGGAGCAATCGATCAAATAAAAATAAAAAAGAAAGAAAATTCTCTTTCCATTGCGAATTTCTGCCAAATCAACGAGGCAATTTCAATTTCCTCGACTGTTCAATTTTTTCCACAGAAGGCCCCAACCCCAAATAGCCAAATCAAGCGACCGGGCGCACCGAAATCAGCAATTTTGCGTTGTTCCAAAGACGAAAGGGGCTCCCTTGGAGTATTCAACCTTTCGTTGCAGATTCTCGCTTTCAATTTCAGCATAATTCAGATTGGAGCTTGGACTGGACCCGTAGATCCAAGAATGGAGCTGCTCATGCACTTGCAAATTGGGCCTCCAATCATATAGGCACCAAATCCTCTTTTCTTTACCATGATCTCCCTGCTAGAGTTAAAAATATTGTACTAGTAGAGTCTTCTTTTATATTTCGCTCTAATGTAGGTAATGCTTCCTTTTTGTAATTGCTTTGTTTGCAATATAAAGTTTAATTTCTAGCAAATAAAAAAGGGGCTCCCGTGGGGGTTTGCCAAAAAAAAAAAAAGAGAAAAAAAAAAGAAACGTTCAGGAAATTTGGCGGGTAACGATATCGAAGCCGGACGCGTTCCCGCCAATTTTGCGATTTCGCTGTTTCATTTTAAAGGGCACAATAAGAACAAAAAAAACAAAAAAAAAAAAAAAGAGAGGAAGAAAGCCCGCGCGCACTCAACCGATTCGAGTGGGAAGAAAAAGAATTTTTACACGAGCGGCGAAGGGGTACACTGAGTTGACTCGTTCGGTTTCCCGCGTTTTCCGACCTTCGTCAACTCTCCATTCTTTTTTTTTCTTTCGGGAGTCCTTAGTACGTTAGCCACTAATTCTTGTATTATTGATTTGAGGCCTTGCTCGTTTGAAAACCCAAATAGAAAAAGAAAAGAAAGAAAAATATGTTCCTAGCGACCGTAATATTACATGTTTAAGTAATGTAAATTGATGATACCGACTTAATCCAATGAGCGAAGCCTGGCTGAAGAATTGCACATGCATATCGAAACTTGGGCACGCAAAGGCGAAATATTAGTTCACGGGACACGTTAATTACTCGAGGCGATCGGTTTCAGGATAGACCGGTTGCCAGCCATCCTGGAACCGAGAACGACCCACCTGATCATGGACCTAGGCGGGAATCGGACCGACCAATCCGTTTCGATTCCCGGGTGGGTTCTCGAACTGGCCATACTTCCTTTGTTTTTTCTATTCGCTACAAGATTGTAAGTGTCGTTGCATAAACACGGCACGATGGTCATCTCCACGAATAAAATTTGCGATAAACATGATGATTGTCTCCACGAATAAAGCTATAGTGATCATCAAGAACCAAGTACGAGAGGCGTTGAGCCGCGAGGGAGGTGCAAGCATTGCATGACTAAGATCGAGAGAAGTGAAAGTGGGAGGCATGGGCAACGAGCGTGCGTGAGTGAGTCCAAGCGAGAAAAGAATGGGAATTAATGTTTTTGAAATATGAAATAATAGGAATTAAAAAAGTCGGTGCAGTCCAGAAGGGTAGGTCCACACTTAAAATCGGGAATAAGACCGATATTCACCGGTTCTAAATTTTAGGAATCAAGAATCGGTCGGTTCAGTCCGATTCTTTCGCTCACCCCTATTAATTATGTTGGATCTAATATGCAATGGATCGGGATCCATCGAGGAAATTTCTAATTTTCAACTCTCAGACTTTTTGCAAATTGACTTTCGCTAAAATTCTTGAAATATTTCGAATAATTCAAAATACCGACATATTCAATCACAGTCCCATCCATTGGCCCTTCCACTAAGTGTTTCTCGTGTTACTAATTCTTTCAACCGACACGGGCTATCGTTTTTTTGGAAAAATATCTTTTGAATCGTTCATTTTTCGCGAAATAAATATAACCTTTGATACCTTTTACATTTCGAGAAAATCGAGGCATTCGACACTGAATAAATTTCCGGTACCAATAAAAACTAGGAGTAAATGCAATGCCAAACAACGGCTTAATTCCCATTTTTCGGGGACCGGCAAATGAATATCAATTTATTCCTTCCTCTCTCTTCATGCTAAATAATCCAACATCTCTCCAACCGTTAATCCGAAAAAAAAATAAAATTGACCCGAGTTCATTTTTTTGAATTTCTAAAGAAAGCGCGCGTTGGTCCCTCTTCCTCCTATTTCTCTCTCTCTCTCTCTCTCTCTCTCTCTCTCTCTTCATTCTTCATTTTTTGCGTTGAAGTGTTTTTTTTTAATAATAAAAGAAACGAACCGAGTTAACTCAGCGAGTCGAAATCCGAAATCTCGCCTGGGATTGACGACGAGTCAAGGGGCGCGTGCGTATCCCAAAGAGAGACACGTAAGAACGTGCGGTAACTTGAGCTCCCCCGCAGAATAGCGAGCGCGAGGAGGGAAGAGAAAAGAAGAAAAAGATGGTGACGGGGAGGAGAAGAGCAGCCCATCCTCGTCTCTCTCCTCGTTAGGGCTTTCCTCTCTCGTCCGAGCCCCATGCTTCCATGGCGGTTACCATCCCTCGCCAGACGGTACGCCCCTCTCTTCTCCGTCTCCTTCCATTGCCGTCGATCCTTCTTCGATAGTCGCGCTTGACGACGGACGTCCCCCGCGCGCGCGCAATCCTCCATTGTTTTTCCCGCCTCCCCCTCCCCCTCCCCCGGCGGCATATGCTCGGCGAAGCAGCGGCTATCCGCGCGAGGCGATTCGCGGTTCGTCTTCCGTCCCTGGACGCGCGCAAACCCTAATTTCCTGTTCGGTTCGGAGGAAGCGTCGCCGTCGCGTTCGAGCTTTGCTGAAATCCGCAAATCCGAAGGTGTGGGGGACGTTTAGGATCTGAAAGTCGGTGGGATTGATCGATGGATCCGGCGCTGCCTAGGAAGAGGGGCCGGCCTAGGAAACGGCCCTTGCCGGACGAGGAGAATGCGACCGCCGGCGTGGGAGGCGGTTCGGATCCTAAGAAACGGGCGCTGAGCGTGAGGCCGATGGCGATGGTGGGCAGATACGTGTTGAAGGAATTCCATGGGAAAAAGTTTCTTGGAAAAGTAGTGTATTACGATACTGGCTTGTACAGGATTGAGTACGAGGATGGCGATCGAGAGGATCTGGAGAGCGGTGAGCTCCGTCGAATTATAATAGATGACGATAGCTTCGCTGAGGAATTGAGTAGAAGGAGAAAGAAATTGGATAAAATGATAGCTGATGCCAGTGCAAAACCTTCAGGTGTTCCTGAGAAGAATCGGGTGGGTGATGCCGAAGCATCTTCGCTGAGTGAATTGAGCAGTGTCCCGGTTCATGAGGATAACGAGGGTCGAGTTGATGTTGAAGGTGATGGCCACGCCGATTCATCAACTGACTCCTGTGAGTATGGTGAGGATGGAGGTTCGGGTTTGGAGGCTGAGGCGCCGGCAATACCCCCAGCTCCGCAATTGCCACCATCCTCTGGATCCATAGGCATTGCAGAGGAGTACGTTTCTCATCTGCTGTCTGTATATGGCTTCTTGAGGTCGTTTAGTGTCGCACTTTATTTGTGTCCCTTTGGATTGGATGATTTTGTCGGAGCGCTAAATTGTTCGCTTCCAAATTCATTGTTGGATGCCATCCATGTCGCACTGATGCGTTCATTAAGGCTTCATCTGGAAATTGTCTCTTCCGATGGTTCAGAGCTTGCTTCGAAATGTCTGAGGTACTCACTTTGCTTTGCACCTTTTATTTACCTTGAGGCGATAAGTGGCCTCCTTTTCACTTAGACGGCTGCATTACCTGAACATGTCTCTTGTGGAGATGATCTCTCCCACTGTTCGACATTTATCCCTTTGCGAATTTCACATACTGAAGTGTTGAACCCAAATTAAAAAGATAGACAAGCTTCCATGACTGTCCGCACACACATTGCTTACATGTCACTGATTTCTAGGAGCTAGAATTTTTTTTTATTTGTGGCTGATTCACTTAGATAATCACGTTCCATCCATTACTGATTGAAGAGCCTGGGCTTGTTAGCACATAATTCGCTTTAGCCAGCTTGTTTTCAACTTATAAGTACACATGTCAGCTGATTTTACTATATTCAGAAGAGCTTCTCAGTTACTCATGTGTTGTGCGACTTGTACTGCAGATATGAAAAATGCTATAATTTAGTCATATTTCTTTTTGAGTTTTTCTCTTTTTGTGCTTTCTCTTAGCAAAATTTTTCTTCGAATGCTTTTATCGCATAATTTGCAGATGCATTGATTGGGACTTGCTGGATACTTTGACGTGGCCCATTTATGTGCTCCATTATTTAACTGTGATGGGTCATGCGAGAGGGCAGGAGTGGAAAGGTTTCTCTGAGGATGTTTTGCACAGGGATTATTACTCCTTATCTGTTGGTAAGAAGCTGTTGATTCTTCAAATTCTGTGCGACCATGCCTTGGAGTGTGCAGATCTGAGAGCTGAGATGGACATGCGTGAAGAGTCAGAAGTTGGAATTGACTTGGATGGGGCTGCAAGTAATATATCCCAGAATGGTATGAGAATGGTCCATTCGCGATATTGCAAAACAACTTCTTTTCTGAACCGAGAAGCTGCAGGAGCCATCGCAGCAAGTTACGAGATGAAACCGCAGACTAATTCAAATTGTAAGGCCAATGGTTCAGAAGGTGTTCAAGTTGTTGCTGATGCTGCAAATCTTGGTGGGGATGGAAATGGGGATGAGTGTCGGCTCTGTGGAATGGATGGGACCTTGCTGTGTTGTGACGGCTGTCCATCAGCATACCATGCAAGATGTATTGGCTTGGTTAAGATGCATATACCAGAAGGATCATGGTATTGCCCAGAGTGCACGATTGATAGGATTGGACCCTCAATTACTGCAGGGACATCTCTTGTTGGAGCAAAAATGTTTGGGATTGATCCATACGAGCAAGTTTACTTGGGTACTTGCAATTACCTACTGGTGTATGTTTTCCTCTACCTGCATAAGTCTATCTTTTGTTTCTCGATTCAGATTTTGATTGTGAAATGTTGTGAACTGGCTTCTTTTCCTTTACCTTCTCCTTTTGTCTTGCCAAAAGATGTCCCCTTCACTTCTTTGCCGTATTTGCTTACCAATTTTAAAGTTTTGCTAGAATCTGTTTGGTTTGGTCTTGAAATTTACTGTTTAGCGAGCTATCTTCCTACTTTTTCTATTTGTAAGTACTTCCCAATTATCTATTTATTCTATTAAACAATGCCCAATGCTTTCTGTAGGCTGAAAGCGTCTATGTCCGACAAGTTGTGCCTTAGATACTACAACCAGAAAGACATTGTGAAAGTGCTGGAAGCTATCAACTCCTCTGTGCAGCATACGACTTTATATTTGGAGATATGCAAGGGAATCATACAGTACTGGAATATACCAGATAATATTTTTTCTCTCCCTCAAGTGAATGAAGTGCAAAGAAAGCAGGTGAATGACAACGACATAAAGATTTCTTCTCAACCATTCGTTTCTTCTGATGACGGAGGACAGAAGATTTTAGGTGCTACTGGAATTGAGAATGTGAGTGGTGTAAGTGGAGGTGCTGCCGTTACTATTGCAACATCATCAGTCCAGACAATTGCGAATGAAACGACACACTGTGAAATAGCTGGTCATCATATAAGTAGTAACTCAAATATGGTGAAAAATGGACCTCCTGTTGATTTGAAGCTACTAGAGCATATCAAAGTGGATTCCGCGTCATCTTCTGGTTCAGTTACTCAGCAAGCTGATCCATCTGACATCAGTCACCAAGTTTCTGTTGACAGATCAAGCGCATCCAACTATGTTATGTGCACCTCTAAGAACAGCAGTGGCAGTTGCAATGGACATCCAGATGGTATTGGTTTACCCAATGTTAAGTCTTACCAGAATAAACATTGTTATAGTGTCGGAGTTGGAGGAGGTGCACGAAATGTGGGGGATGATTGCATGTACACTGGTGCCCTTTTTAGACCTCAGGCATACATAAATAATTATATCCATGGATGTACTGCTGCTACTGCCGCTGCTAATCTGGCAACTCTTTCAGCTGAGGAAGGCCAGATTTCAGAGGTTCATGTTTCTGGAAGTTCTAAAAAGCTCACATCTGCTAACTCCCATCAAATGAAAGCTTTTATATCAGCTAGCCCGCGATTTTTTTGGCCAATCTCTGAGAAGAAACTTGGAGAGGTGCCAAGAGAGAGGTGTGGTTGGTGCTATACTTGTAAGGCTCAAGTTATCAGCAGGAGAGGATGTATGCTAAATGCAGCAGCCCTGCTGGCCACTAAAAGTACAACCAAGATTCTCAGTGGTCTACCACCCACTAAGAATGGTCAAGGGAGTCTTTCTAGCATAGCAATATATATTTTATTGATAGAGGAGAGTTTTCGAGGTCTTATCGTTGGTCCATTTCTTGGTGGGACTCAAAGAAAAGAATGGTGTGAACGAGTAGTGGAGGCTGCAGATTGCATAGCAGTGAAAGCTCTCTTGCTTGAGGTAAGTTTTGCATGCTCATTATTCTTGGTGCCGGCTATTTTTATATGAAAAAAGTAATTGTCTTGGACCAAATGAGATTTTGTAATGAGCCTTTGACTGAATTCTTTAGCTCTAGGCAACACTAGGCATTTAATATTCAATAATGTCAAGCTGGTGTAACAATGATAGGTGCCTCTGACAAATCGAGTTCTTTTCATTCAAGTTAGTTAACAAGTAAACCACAAAGAAAAAAAAGGGCCAAAACAACTCAGAGACAATAACTTTTATAGTTTGAAAGAATTTCTTTTTTAAAAAATAGTTTGAAACAAGCTTATAATTTGTACATTGTAATGTTCCTTTCCTACATATCATGCGAAGAAAGAATTATAAGACAGCGCTAAAGCAATTAGACCTGTGCAATGCTTTTGATGTATGTAAGTATAAACCATTAGAAGAACTTCCAATTTTCGATTTGCTGGATTTTCTTCAAATCCTTCATTATATGGTGAAAATGTATGTTCACATATTCAAGCGATCATTATTAGTTTCAAATCACTTTACTGGCATTAATGCTTTAGTGGAAAATAATTCTCTCTTTTAAATCCTCACTTAATGCCTGCCCTTTCTAGTATGCTGATCTTTACATGGTCAAAATTAACACCATCTGTATCTAAGTTTTAAACCTTCTAGTCTGTTCTTAGCAGTTGCCTCTTGTTCAGAATCTGAGGAAATTCTGCGTTTGAAATCTAGTGAAGAGATTATAAAACTGGCCTAAACTACCCTCTTGAATTTGTAATCAATTGTGCTTCATTGTTGAGTTTGGTGCATTGTGCACACATAAGAATGGATTTATTAATTTGATAATGATTTCCACCGGCAGCTTGAGGAGCACATTAGCCCAATTGCGCTGTCTAGTGACTGGATTAAGCCAGTGGATGATTGTTTGATGGAGGCTTCTGTTACTCAAAGTGTCTCGTCCACTGTTGATACGGCACAGAAGCGCGGTCCTGGTGGTAGACGGAGGAAAAATGCTGCTGTATCTGATGTTGCATCTGATGATGGTCTGGATAAGAGTTTCAGTTGGTGGCGAGGAGGGAAAGTATCAAAGCTTTTAATGCACAAAGCAATTTTGCCGCGGTCATTGGTAAAAAGAGCTGCTCGCCAAGGTACTTTGAGTGTGCCATTATCTTCCTCATTTTAAGCTATCTTTTAACTTCCACATTAGATTTTCTCCGAGTCACGTAGGATCCTGAATATTCTTTTTTTGTGGTCTTTTAGGGGGCTCAAGAAAGATTCCCGGTGTTCACTATTATTATGGTTCTGAGATTCCTAGAAGAAGCAGGCAATTAGCATGGAGAGCTGCTGTTGAAACGAGTAAAAATGCTTCGCAGCTTGCTCTTCAGGTCTGTGGTAATTGTCTGCCGTGTATATCTGCATTCTTGTCTCTGAGTCTCTGTACTTCTATTAAGCAAGTTGCACTTACTTTAAGGTTATTATGTACAGTGAAGTAATTCTATGTATTAACCTCTTATGAGTTATGAATATATTTACTTGCATCAGGTTAGATATCTGGATTCTTATTTGAGGTGGAATGATCTGGTACGGCCAGAACAGAGCCCTCAGGATGCAAAAGGTCCAGAGTTGGAATCTTCTGTTTTCAGAAATGCATTGATATGTGATAAGAAAAATTTGGAACGCAAGGTATTGTATGCTGTTGATTTTGGGATTCAAAAGCACCTTCCATCCCGTGTCATGAAGAGTATCATTGACATAGAACAAAGTCAAGGAGGAAAGGAGAAGTACTGGTTTTCAGAAGCACACATTCCTCTATATTTAATCAAAGAGTATGAAGAAGGTGTTGATAGGTTGCCTATGCCTTCAGAGAAGATGCGTCTGTTTTCGCATATCCAAAGAGTGCAGTTAAAAGCTGTTCGCATCGACATATTCTCCTATCTTGTGTATAGGAGGGATAATGTGGATAAGTTCTCTTGCAGTTCATGTCAACGGGATGTTCTGCTCAGGTAGATGGCTTTATTGCTTAATCTCAATTGTCCATGTCTATAGAAACTTGTTTTCATAGTAACTTTGATCCTGCGCTTGGCTTATTTTTTTTTCTGCCCTGAATTTCAGGAATGCAGTCAAATGCAGCTCATGTCGAGGTATGCCTATTTGTAGCAACTTCATTTGCATGCTTTTTATTTATTGAGAAACCAAATTATGCCTATTGAATTGGTGTATTTGCCTCCAGCTTCCTCTGCTCAGAAAAATGAGAAAAAAACCATGTTAAACCTTTCGTTTTTCTCTTTGTACTACAGAAGGTCCATGAGGGTTATTTTAAATAGGCTTATTCTTTTCAGTTATGATTTGCCCTTGAAGCTCCTATTTTAGCAACTATAAGTAATGTGACAAGACTTTTGAAAATTATTTTCTTGGTCAGAGTATTTGCCGAATGAAGTATTTTGAAGGGATTTCTTTTGCTCACAAGTTGGGAAGGTGTTTGATGTGTTAAATATTCTTGTGAATATCACCCATCAGTTTTGGTTGATGCTCTTATTGATCTTATGGCTCAGTCAAATTATCATCCTGTTTTGGGAACAAGATGGCGATTTTACCTTTAAGAATAGAGTAGGCTTGGTATGTAATTGCAGAGTCCTTAGATAATTGCTTTTCAGTTGTAGTAGGTAGGATAAACAGGGGGAAGATGTGTCCATTCTGCAAATTGTTCCCTTAAATTTGTTCTGCCAACTATAGCCTTTCTTGCCTATGTAGACATTAAAAAAATTATTGAGCCATTAGTTCTGAGCTTTTAGTGACTGAGATTTTACAAGGAGGTGTTCAGATATTTCCTTACTGCTGATTCATCTCCTGCAATATATTGGTCAGGTTATTGTCACGAGCAATGTATCGTAGGTTCAAGAATTATGGCAAATGGGTTCAGTTGCAGGCAGTGCTTCAATGCCAAAGCTTTTTCGAGGAAGGAAAGCACGGAATCTCCAACCAGTCCATTGCTTTTACAAACCCGCGAAAATCATGCCAATGGGACAATCATCAGACTTCCTAAAGTTAAGGGGTACAGTCAACCATTTGCATCTGCCAGAGCTATTAATAACGGTCAGGAGATAAAGCATGGCACTTCAGGATCTAGTTTGGCGACGAAATCCCGAGCTAAGCTCCCTACTTGGGGTGTTATATGGAGGAAGAAGATCTGTGATGATACAGGGTCAGAGTTCAGGGTTAATAACATTCTTTTGAGGGGAGGTGCAGATTTGCGGTGGTCCGGACCTGTATGCCATCTTTGTGGGAAGCCATATAATTCTGAACTGATGTACATTCGATGCCAAAATTGCACCCGTAAGCATATTTTTTAATATTCAGGGCTATTTTTTTCCCTGGACCTTTGTTAGTGTGTATTTGCCAGAAATCTTTTAATGTTGATGATATACAATCATTTGCAGATTGGTTTCATGCTGATGCTGTTGAACTTATGGAGTCGAGAATATTTGATGTGGTGGGTTTTAAGTGTTGCAAGTGTCGTAGAATAAGATCACCCGAGTGTCCTTATGATGACAAAGGCAAGAAGCGAACAGTTAAAAAGCAGCAATCTTCAGCTATAAAGCAAGAATCGGAGTCTGATTTGGGAAATACATCTGAATCGAGAGAATGTGAACCCACAACTCCAATGTTCCCTCCTGAGGAGATGGAAATACAAGAGGAGGATCCTCTTCTTCAGTCTACCTCAAGAGTGCATCAGATTGCCGACGACAATTGGGAGGTGGATTTTGGCCAGGTGAGTGCGCCAGGGCCGGCACTGCAGAAACTTCCTGTTAGAAGGCATGTAAAGCGAGACGGAGATGCAGATGGCCTTTTGGAGAACAATTACTTTTATTCAGAATCCTCAACTTCAATGGAAATAAATATTCCCATGGATCAGATTGGGGATGCAACGACTCCAGCAGCAGCGTGGGATATTCCCAGCAATGGCCTTGATGGGGAGTTTCTTATTGATTATGAAAGTTTTGACTACGGTGATATGGAGTTTGAACCGCAGACTTACTTCTCTTTTACGGAGTTGTTGGCTTCTGATGATGGTGATCAGTTTGATGAAGCTCATACAATTGAGGAAGTGTCGGGGAAATGGGATAATGCAGCTTCTGCAGCTTTGCAGGGTGGCGTTGCGGAGGACTTTGGAGAGGTCCCCTCTGATAATGGAGTTGGGCAGACTAGTTCCGAAATGTCTGGCGTTGCTGTCCCCTGTCGGATATGTACATGCTCAGATCCTACTCCTGATCTCTGTTGCCAGTTTTGTGGGTTGTGTGTGCATAGCGGTTGTTCTCCTTGGGGTGGGATGGAATCTGGGGAAGGTGACTGGAAGTGTGGAGATTGCCGGGAATGGAGGTAGGAGCTCTTGGCTTCAGTCGCTTCTTAAGAGAAAATGTTTTTACTGTAAATTGAGACCACCGCTAGCGAAATGGAGAGGAGGCGGCAGAGATTACATGGCAGGTTCAGTCAAATCAAATCTTGTTTCTAGAGATGTTGTCGCATTGGTGATCGGCCAGAAGAGCCGGATGGTGATCATCCAGAAGAGGCAGAGACGACCAGGTAGCTGCTTGTGCCTCCATCGATGATGCCGATGACTAGCTGAGAGTAGCTCCTTCCGGTACCAGCTGCGATGTTTTTGACTCTGAATTATTTGGTTCCATGAGTTTTGGAGGACTCGGATTCTTTTGGTTCTGGGGAAAAAGGAACCACATTTTATATCATCCTTGAAGAAGATAAGCTAGGTTTTTGTCGTGCTTATCTGATTTTAAAATGATTGTATAAAGTTAGTGATAGCTATTTGATTATCTCGAAGTCTTGGCTTCAGTGAGAATCATATTGGGTCACCTTTAATTCAATACCGAAAGATTTCTCGAAGAAAAATGACCTACCGAGAGAGAGAGAGAGAGAGAGAGTTCAATGTAACCCCTTTATATTTCAACTCTTGGCAAGTAAAGGAGCAAGTTAGGGCCTGTTTGGTAATTGGTTTATTTTTCTATTTTTTTGTTCCTCAGAGCAGACGAAAAATAGAAATTTATTTGTGTACTCTATTTCTTGGAATAGATCATGTGATCAGGGAATAGATTTGGAACAGAAACAAGAAGTAAAAAAAATTTACTTTGTTGTTCTTTGGAACCAAAAAGAGAAGGTTATATTAGAGAAACAAGCTTAGCTCGCCTTTACACAATCAACACAAACTCAATGTAAATCCTAAATCCTTAAACAAGTTGAGGTTGTAGATCATGCATTGCATGGGGAGGCAATTGAGATAAACATGTTTAGGAAAAATATTGCAAATAAAATGGCCATGGATGATAATATGTTTGCATTTTCGACTTTTGTAATGTTGTTTTTAAATACTCGGCAACATTTTTGTTAATCGTATTAAGGTCATTCAATTCTATGTCATAATATATTTTGATTTTAGCTCTTTGTTAATCGTATAATGATATATTTTTTTATATTTAAAAAACACGAGTTTTGGATTCCAATTCCATCTTCCTCTTTCAAAAACTTTATATAGTCAACTATAACTGGGACGTGAATGTTGAAGTGCTTAAAAAACCAAAGAAATTGTCTTCTTCAATAACATTCAGTAGATAAATCAAGTTATTGAAGACATATGCTGTAGTTTATGACCTACGTATGGACTTCACTAATTGGAATCGGTTAATGCTATTACCGTTTGTCTTGTGTTCATAAAGTCGAATAAGCCTGTGCTCTAGGGATTTCTAATATCATTTGCTTGAAGGATTGATGAGTTTGTGCAAATAAACGCACCAAGGCAACGTTTACTCTTCTTGCAGCTAAAAAAGCCCAAAAGGTCTTATGCATATGTTTATTGTAAAGACAAAAGATTGAATTTTCTGTGGTCATCTTAAAATATCTCGATTGGTTAAGTCCTTACAAAAGTATAGTTTATAGAAATTTTTAGGTCGTACCAAAGGCATTTCTATTTTTTTCTATTCCGAGAATAAAATTTTTTTGCCGTTACCAAAACACATTCTCTTGCTCAATGACTCGTCCATGAAATAGAAATAGAGAACTATATTCGAACATAAATTATTGCCAAGAACAAAATGTTACCAGACACACCTTTAGCCACACTAGCAAACACATTTCTGTAGGCCTTTTACTAATTTGCAAGGTAATGCCAATTACTTGGCCTCCTGCTTAACGTTTCCACAACAGAATAACGAGAAAGGGTCTTTAAAATTAGAGTATCGTATCAAATCTTGGGGTCATTATTGGAATATAATCAATTTTAATTATCAATTGACAAGCACATTTCTAAGCAGTTACAACTGGTTCTACATTACCACATATCTTACAATGCTTCTCATGAAACCGACCGTATTGGGGAACTGGAGACCTAAGGAAAAGGGGCTGAAAACCTCCCCACCCACCAACTCAATAAGAGAGAATTAAGGACAAAGAAGAAAAAGAAGAGGACCAAAGAAGTAAAATGCTCGCTATTTGCACCCAAAATTTTGCAGAAAGAATCTCAAAAAAGCCGACCAACCCTGGAAACGCTACTCAAACCATTGACTCAACCAATTGGCTTCACCCTTTACACCGCCAGCCCCAGCATCTTATTTCTGCAATTGACCTCCTTACTTAGAGGGGACGAAGGGGTGGGACCGGCCGTTTCAGTCCTATATAGGTGTGTAATTTCAACAAATCTTCCAATGATCACTTCCGACTTATAACTGTCACAGCAAACCAGCTAGAATAGCGCCGGGATCATTTGAAGGTGCTACTGGAGCCATCGGCGAAGCTACAGCAGGAGCCATCGGAGGTGGAGGGGAACTTGTCGGAATGTGAACTAGCTGTTCCTTGATGTACTCCTTCAACCTGCGGGGTAAAAGTTAGATCCGTTGAAGGAGAATCTGAAAAAATACATAAATACTGAGCAATTTAAGAACGACACGTACTCGAACGTTAAGGTAGGATCCCCAGAAGCAACTGTCATGCGCAACTGAGTTCTGTCTGCTGGATCCGTCTCAATTCTTAACTGCATATTGGAATTAGATGGTCATAATAGGATCGTCTTTTCAACACCCCCATTGACACATGGAAAATTGTGAAGAGCATTGATCCAAACTAGTTTTAGCATTAGAAGGTTTAACTGTAGATCTAATTTGGCAGCTCAGCACGGTTCTTGATTTGGAGAAATAAATGGATGCGCTGTAATTACCTTCTCAAAGCAACTTATTTACCCAATGATTTTATTCACGGAGATTTCAAACTGGACATACTCGAGAAGATGGGATGCATTTAGTTCCTAGTATATACCATAAGTTGCCCAAGCCAAATAGAAGGCAAGTTTTAGTAATGATGCATGGGGAAAAAGTGCACTTACCAAACAGAACATGGCACGTGTACTTTCTGAGTAGAACGTTGTACTTGCAACAAGATTATTAGGATTTGGATCCTATACAGAGATATAGAAGTTAATGGAACTTCATGAGGAGAGAGAGAGAGAGAGAGAGAGAGAGAGACTTACAAGCCCTGGACAAACCATCACTCTTATACTGTTAAGTAAGTTTGCCATTTCCAAGAGTGGAAGCGGTCTTACGCCTCTGACCTGCATTGTTTACGTGCATGAATGAGAATATGTCTTGGATAGAATGACTAAAGGATAGCAGCAGCTAGCAAACAATAGTATATTCAGGGTCTAACTTTGTAAGTCTTAATAGCTCCTATGCCACTAGTAAATTCAAGAAATTCATATCACATCAGACAGATGCGGAAGCAGCAACCAATTCTAGACAAGAATCGGGATGATATTGATGACAACTATTGACATACTAGAGGGAGGTATATCATAAGTGCTCGAAGTTACGTGCTACGTCAAGATTGAGGACGAGTAATGCATGCAAAGCAGGTCAAATAGTATACGCTAGTCTCTTTAGGCACCACTTAAAACTTCACAGTTACTTTTTGGCCAGCAACGTCACAATTAAAGACAGAAATATACCCATACCACTTCTTGAAGCTTCAAAGGCGGTCCAGACAGTGATCTCCATTGAGGAAAGAACTCATCCGTAGTCAATGTCAAGGGCTGCAGAAATTTGTTTAAAACAGCAGGAAGGCGTAGCTTGACGTTGACCTATAAAAGGCAGACCAGAAATCATTGCCAGTCACCTAACAAGCAACAACGTTGGCTAGAAGCCAGGAGGAACTATTTTGGAAGTATTACCACATGGCTACCAAACTTGTAGGAAAAGTCTAGTACAGCAACATCTCTGCTTGGGCGAAGATTCACAATTTCAAGAGGACATTGCACCTTGATCATGAAAGTCAAGATGTGAATGTCTATAAAATACAGGATAATGCGAACAAGGTATCATGAATGATAAACCACCACGAATGAGGCCTAGAAACCCACCTGTGCTCGTGGGGGAATGGTGTCAGGCACTGGTGAGAGCTCCGTTTTTAAATGGGAGGGAGGCAATATCAGAGCCTGAACTGATACAAGCGGAGATGTATTCTTGTTTCCCAAGAATAGTAGAAGACGTCCATGGTGGACTTGCCACTCAGCTTTAATACCAATCTGAAATTGAATGTAAAGGAATTCAACACAAACCCTTTGCATATACCTCAACAGAAGATTCCAAAAACTGATAAGATGAATACCTGAATATGGGGATCCTCATACAACACACCACTATCTTTTAAGCATAATGCATGGAACCTTTCAGCAATATTTCCGATTGGCTGCAAAGTCAATCAACTTATTAAAAGTGAGAATAACCACATTGTTGCAGTCTCTGTACTAAACTCTAAACCCGAACCAGTATGGGAAATAATTTTTATCCATAGACTCAAATTTTTCTTAAGTATGTTAACATTTACATGTTTTACAACGACAAACCGAGATTCTTAAAACATCTGGATATGAAAAAATGAAGCAAAAACTTTGGCACACTGCTAGTCTACCGAAACATCTTCTCTTGCTATGATAACAAACGTTTTTTTAACTAAAACCAATGACCAGAACATTGAAAATGCAATTTCACCGGGTTCTTTTTGAAAATTGAATAACAATCAAGAACATTTCATGGAAGAGCTGGAAAATAACCTAAGTCAGATATACATCAAATTCCTTCCCTGTTCTAATATAATGGAGAGAAAAACGATAAAAAAGATTGCATCTGCCAATGGTAGTATTTTCTACAAAGACAAGGAAGCACTGCGCTTTATATCTTTGCCTTCAGACTCAGAAAGAAGTGGATTCAATAAGCATCTAAACAACCAGTACCTGAACAGTATTCAATTGCTCTTCAATAGGTACTATTGCCGCAGTATCTGCTGCACTGGGGACACCATCTACTCCTGGCACATTCTGCTCTGATTGGACAGCCCCTGGGGGACCTTCAATAGCTAGTGGACCCAAAAGATCGCTCAGAAGGTCTGCTGAAGGAGGTTGAGGATCTACTCTGCTCAAAGTGCCATTCGCCTGTCTCGCTCCTTCTTCCGCTGAATAATTGTCCTGTTATTATATTCATACAGTTTATTGCATGCTGTTGCTATCCGATACCAATGAAAATTTGTGACAGCAAAGTAATCATGTAAATCATGAAGATCATTTGGGTGAAACCTTGATGCATCTTCTGAGGGGAAAAAGCACCGGCCCACAGTTTTCACTTTGTAAAGAAGAAGTTTTTTTTGGTCAATTGTAAGGAAGAAGTTGAATTGGTGAATAACGTACTATTTTTGCATGAAGGCATGAATGGTGTAGTTTTTGCTCATGCGTGCAGACAGAAGTAAATTGCTACTTCAGTCATGGAAATAACGAGTAGTT